TAGGGAGGGCTGGTCAGAGAGACCAGAAAGGACTGAGTCTGTATTTTGCGCGTGGTTGCGGACTTTGTAACGGGATCGGTTTTATATATATATTTTTTTACAAAAAAACCCCCCAAAACCTCCAGATACCCCTAACACTGTCATAAGCCGGGATCCAGGTTTTCCGTTTCCCACAGAAAAATGGAGAAAACCACAAATTTTACCTTTGAATGGAGGCAAACATGGATTTTTCATTTTACTGGAGAAACCCATGGATTTTGCAGTTTTGCACTGAGCTCTCTGCAGGCTGGCAGAGTTCCAGCCTGCAAGGGGCTGGGAGGGAGTGGGAAGAGAGTGATCAGGCAGGGGGCGCCATGTGCTTGTATATATGCACATGGACACAAGGCAGCCTGGAGAGGGGGTGGTGGGGGAGGCAGGATTCAGGACCACATAGGGAGGGAGAGAGGAGGGCAGGGCAGGGGCTGGGGCTGCTGCCCAGCCAGGCAGTGCCAGCTGCAGGGCCCTGGCGGGGAGTGGGAAGGGGCCACAGGCAGCTTGTCCAGGGGTTGAGGGCTGGCTCTCTGCTGCTGCGCGCACTCCCAGGGGGCAGGAGGGACCCATGCCCCCCAGATCTGTGCACAGGATGCTGGCTGCCCAATTCAGGCTCGGACTCCCGCCCTGCTGTCCTCCCCCCGTGACTCTGCAGTCCAACAGGTGTGACCCTACACTGCAAAGAACAGTGAGGCCATGCAGGAAACCTGCTTGCCGCTGTGAGCTCTGTGCTACCCTGGTGAGGTGTCCCTGCATTACTGCCCCTTCTGCAGCCATGCGCGCAGCAGATGTGTCGCCAAGGCAGCATGAAGCTCACAGCAGCGAGCAGCTTTCCTACACAGCACCATTGTTCCCTGCAGAGCCGGATCGCCCATGCTCGGCTGTGGAGGCCCCAGTGAAGGCAGCAGGGTGGAAGCCTGCCATTGGTGGCATGTAGGGGGTGCATGTGGGTGCACGTGCACCCCCTGAGATTGGCTGTGCACCCTCTGGAAGTGCCAGCTGCGAAACCAGAAGTGTCGGTGGAAGTGCACTTCTGGTTTCTCTACTGGTGGTTCCACACTTGGGATCGGCTGCTGGGGGACCCCCCCCCGCTCCCCAGTTGGCGATCTGGTGCCCCCCCAGACTCCGGAGGCACCAGTTGCCCATGGAGCCTGCAGCAGGCAGCACGCTGCCCCTGCTCAACATGCAGATTTCAGGGGCACGGGTTCCCCTGCCCCTTGGGAGTGCGCACTGCAGTACGGATCTGCCCTCTCCCCCACCCAAGCCCGCAGCAGGCATTCGGGGGGGAGCCAGGCTCTGCTCCACTACAGCAGCCATTGCCTCCTGCTGGGGCAGGGGGCTATGGACCTGGGTCCTTGGCCCCATAGCCCTGGCAGTTGGGAACCCCCTCCAGCAGGACTGGGGGATTGTGAAGGGGGAGTGAAGGGCACAAGCAGGGCAGGGACATATGCAGGTGGGGTGAGGGGCACCAGAAGGGCTGGGGGGGATGGGACTGAGGGGGGCCTTTCATTTTAATCATAAATTTGAGGGGTTTGAGAGAATTTACAATTTTTTAATCAGATAATTTGCAATTTTTTATTTATCAGACAAAACCAGGATCCTTGGTCACGATCCTGGGATCCTCCAAAAATGTATATACAGATAAGGCACAGGGAAACCAGGTCTGGCTGCACTTCATGAAGGGCAAGGCTATACTAATCTTATGCAACAAGCTGAGAGACGGACCAACAGAGGAGTTCTGGGTGGACTGTTTGGGGCCCTGTTTGGTGATGTTGTCAGACATTTAAGGCTTGTAAAGAAACAGAAATCATTGCATATGGGAAAGAAAGGCACTGGAATAAAGAGGAAAGCAAAATGTATTCAATGTGGTGACTCACCGTGACTGGTGCTGAGTGGGACTGAACTCAGTAGATGCTGTTATATAACTTCTCTCATAGATTACACTAATGTATTTTTGTAGGCTTAGATTACTTCTTGAGCTCTACCTGAAAAAGGGACACATGGCACAGACTGCTCAAAGTCCCCCTGGGTAGGGAAGTGGATGGGGAGAATGA